TTTTTTTTTTTTTTTTTTTTAATGCATTTCAATCACTCTCGTCCTCGAGGTGACCCTGAATTTGACCAGCTCTACAAAATCTGGCCCTCATAAATCACTTTAACCAGAAATTTGCAGGTGTGTATACTCCCCAGCTAAACATCTGCGTTGAAGAGTCATTTTTTTGGCCGCCTTGCATTCAAACAATTCCTCCCCAGCAAGCATGCCAGATATGGGGTCAAAATGTATAAGAACTGTGAGAGGGCAACATGCTATACATGTAATTTTCGGATTTACATGGGAAGAGATAGTCATGTGGAACCCCCCATGGCGAATGTGGCACCTGGCGACCTAATCAGAGGGGCTTCCCCAACAGCTTGTAGATACCTATTTTAGAAAGGGGGAGAAAGCCTGCTTGAAAAACTATTTCTTTCAGTGAAGTTGAAGGACAAATGGGATGTTTTCGTCCTGTCTTCCATTCACGCAGATACGATCATCCAAATTGCCATGGCAGCTGGTGTTGTTGAGAAGCCCCTCTGTGTCCACGACTATAACTTTAACATGGGAGGGGTGGACTTCAACGTCCAGATGATGAAGCCGTACTTAGTTTCATGTAAAGCCAGACGCTGGTACAAAAAAGTGTCTGTAAAGAACAAAAGCGCACAGAGAAATTGAAATAAAAATACAAAGTAACTGAACAAAGTGGATTCTTCCTAAAATTTCAGGAAGAGATCATCACGGCCCTTTTGTATCCAGAAGGTGCTGTGGCCCAAGTAGTGGTGTGAACCTCCTGCGCTAATAATTCTAGATAAGTGTCCAATTAAGAGAAGCTGCTAACATTAAATCATATGCCCGTGATCTGTGGTTTAAAATCAATAAATGTAGCGCTACTCACATAAATGAAAAAATACAAAATTAATAAATGTACCCTTATGTGAATAAATAACTGACAAACGGTGTAAAGTAAATCACAATGGTGACACAAAACAAAATAAATATTCACAAAAGGTGCCACAATCAAAAAGTTAAATACCTGTGAAACAATATACCACCATGCGATGTGACACGTAGGTATACTATCTCAAATATTAGTGTTCTACAGCTGGACTAAAACGTTAAAGTGAATAATAGTCCAGTGAAACCAGTGATACGTCAATACCACTGCAGACACAATATAGGATGTATAAAACATGCATAGGACTAGTGCATATAAATGTATTGTAAACAAACTCACCAAAAACTACTAGTGCCACAATATATAACAAAGGATATGTACCATCAATAAGTGCAATATATGAAAATCTCAATAAGTGCAATAAATATACATACATCAAACAGAAAAAATGTGACAAAAAATGTGCAAATGTGCAAACACATTAATTAGATCAAACTAAAAACGTCTGATCTGTGCTCCAAAGTCCAATGAGTGGATAATACCACTTATTCAAATACAACACTTGTGCTGATGTAAGTGACTGTGGGTAACTGCTGGTAAAGAAAATCCAACCAATGGCTAGATTAGCCTCTCACCTCAAAACTTCGAATTGTATGGGTCAAAGCGTATTGTGGGATCACACCCTCAGATCCTTCTAGCATGCAGCCTCTCCACTGGTCTGCTCTCCCCAAACACAGATCTCCCTCTCAGGGGGTCAGCACTCATGTAGTGGCTCTTCTCCAAATAGGGTATGGGTATGTGCCAGTATCTCAAACATAAACACAACCTCCCATAATGTAATATGTTTTATTCACAAGAAGATTGAACCATATGTAATAAATGTGCACTCACATAAATCTTCAGCATCTGACAGCTTAAAACCGCATGCTTTTGGGTGTAGTCTGCATGGGTATAGGAAAAGGTGTGCCAAGATGGCGTCCACACTGGAAGTGCGTCATTACATCAGGCCTACGTGTTGCGTCACAATACCATGTGACTTCCTCAGGGCTGGAATTAGGCATGACGCACTTTTTTTTTTTTTGTCCCTCTTGTTCTAATTAACCCGGTTTCTGCCTCCAAGGACTGCTTCTGTCGCTACCATACACTAGAGGAATATTAGTATAAGGTACAGCATGGCACAGTCCAGGACACACACACACACGATGTTAGGTAGTCTGGAAACTGGCTATCGCATTTTTGAGAGACCCTAATATCAGCTTATTACAGTTTAAAAAAAAAATGTAAACAAAATAATACAAAGTAAAATATAAATAATAAAACCCAAATAGTTGTTGTTTTATTGAGTTACTGCTTTGTTAACCATTGCTGTTTTCTTTTCAAGAATGCCATTCAGCAGCAGCACAGATCTGTTCTGACAGAAACAGGGTCTTGCTCTCAGTATATACGTAAGTGTGTGAAGCGCTGTTGAGATTTTTCATCCTCCGTTTAAAAAAAAAAAAAAAAAACACCATATATGCCCAAGCACGAGGACCTGGGGTGACCTGTGGGTGGATCGACCCTATGCTTTGACATATATGGGGTTTTTTTTTTTGCTTTTTGTTTTTTTTTTTTTTTTTTTTTTTAACTGCGGATGAAAAATCTCATCCAACAGCGCTGCACACACTTATGTATATATTGAGAGCAAGGTCTGGGATGGATCGCCCCTATGCTTCGGCATATACATTTACAATATTTTTTGGCACTGATTTCAATAAAAAAAGTTGTTTTATTGAATTACTCTTTTATTGTTAACCATTGCTGCTTTCTTTGCGGTAATGCCATTCAGCTGCAGCACCAATCTGTTTATTCTGACAGCAACAGGGTCTTGCTCTCAGAATATACGTAGTTTGTTGCTGTTGCACTGAGCATACACAGTTTGAAAGCATGTCATGTTTGGTATATATTTAACAAAACAGCATTAAAACACCATTTTATTCTCTAGGCCGTCTGCTTTAAAAATCTATAATATTTGGGGTTTGAAGTAATTTTCTAGCAAAAATACTGATGTGAACAAAGTGTCAGAAAAGGCTTAGTCTTCAAGTGATTAGAAGAGTTAGTGATGTGTGGCATAAGGTTCTAATACATAAAATGCCACGATAACCCCCCAAGTGACCCCTATTTTGAAAGTCGACACCCCAAACGATTTGCTGAGAGACATGTTAAGTTAATAGAAGAATTTTATTTTACCACAAGTTTTTGGAAAAAATTAATTTTTTTTTTTTTTTTTTTTTTTTACACACAAAGTTGTCACTTAAATGATATATTGCTCACACACATGCCATGGGTATATATGGGATTATACCTTCTGGTATCCCCAAACTCTGTAGAAGTAGCAGAATGTATTTTTGGGGTGTAATTCCAGATCTACCTATGGCATGTGTGAGCAATATACCATTTAAATGACAACTTTTGTGTGTAAAAAATAAATAATAATTTTTCAAAAATGTTTGGTGGAAAAAAAAATTTTCCATGGACTTAACATGCCTCTCAGCAGATAGCTTAGGGTGTCTACTTTCCGAAAGGGGTCATTTGGTGGTGTTTGTACTGCCCTGGCATTTTAGCACCTCAAGAAATGTGAAAGGCAGTCAGAAAATAAAATCTGTGTAAATTCAAGTAGCCATACAATATTTTGTAGACGCTATATTTTACACAAGCCAATTGATATACACTTGTTGAGATTTTTTTTACCAAAGCTGTGGCAAAATATATTTTGGCCTACATTTATGACTAACTTTGAGTTTATTGGATATTTTTTATAACAGAAATGAAAAAATATTTTTTTTCAAAAATTAAATTTTTTTTTCTTTAGAACGTAAAAAATAAAAAACCCAGCGGTGATCAAATACCACCAAACGAAAGCTCTATTTGTGTGAAAAAAAGGACATAAATTTCATTTGGGTATAGCCTTGCATGACCATGTAATTATTAGTTGAAATAGCAGAGTGCCAAATAGCAAAAAATAGCCTGGTCAGGAAGCGGGGTAAATCTTCGGGAGGACAAGTTAAAACATGAGTTCTGATTCTCCCTCTCCCAGTTTTATCTCTGGCATTCAGGAATGCTATTTAATATCCGGTGCTTTCATTTACGCACCAAAATTGGAAATACACCCATCGATTTAATGGTTTCCCAAAACAATTACATTTGAGGTATGGTGTGAATGTAACTGGTCACATTTGCTTCTGCTGTCAAGCAAACTGCCAAGCCATCAAGCGGTTGGTGTCTGAACAGCTAACATGTGCAGTACCAGCACAACTGCAGATCAAACAGAGGCTAAGATGGCAGCCTTGGCTGTAAAGAATAATGTGGTTTAGTTTCGCTTTTGTTTTTTTAAATGGAACTTCCCCACCACTTTTTTTTTTTTTTTTTTTTTTTTTTTAACATTTCGCAACTTTTTGGGGAGATACCCGGTTTTGACAGGTACCTTCTTCTAATTATGGTCAGATCGCATTGGTTCTGGCCTGAGTCACAAAGCACAGCACGGCACGCACAGGGGAACCCGCCTGTGAAGCCACAAGGCTTCACTGCCGGTTTCCCTTAGTTAAGTTAAATTGTAGAATTGGCTTGGGTAAGGACAGCACTGCATCCCTGGACAGGTAACTGTCCTCATATTAAAAGTCAGCAGCTACAGTATTTGTATACTACAGTATTTCAGGGGAGACTAGAGAACTGCTTTAATGAACACATACTGTAGTTGCCTAAATTGATTTTTTTTTTTTTTCTTTTTCTTTTTTTTTTTTTTAACTGCCTCGAGTTCAGCTGTACTTACGTTGTTTAAAAGTTAAGTTTTCACCTTTTAGACAAAAAGGCGGTGGCTGCGGCTATGGGAACATGTTACATGTTCCACCCTAAAAACAGGTGGAACATGTTCCCAAAGGTGAACGTATTCTCGAAGTAAAAATCCAAATGAAATGCAGTTTAATGTCATGTGATACTTTTGCAAAGTACTATATATCTCTGTATTTTTTGCCTCAAATTGCAGTTGTGTGCAAACCAAAAACAGCAGTGCGTGTGTGTTGTCACATTTCATGAAAATGTGTGTAGTGAGTTGCAAATGACAATTTGGACTTATTATTTCTCTATATTTCAGATGAAGCAGACCAGCGCCAGTATGAAGAGTGGCTCTTACACACACAGCAACTCTTGCAGATGCAATTGAAAGTCTTGGAGGAACAAATTGGGGTTCACCGCAAGTCCCGCAAAGCTCTGTGTGCTAAACAAAGGACTGCGAAGAAAGCAGGACGAGAGTTCCCAGAGGCAGATGCGGAGAAGCTGAAATTAGTTACTGAGCAGCAAAGCAAGATTCAGAAGCAGCTGGACCAGGTAAAGTGTTTGGTATTAACCTGCAAATTTGAGCTTAGTTTAGCTTACGTTTTTGTGCAGTTATCTTACAGAGCTTTTGACATGCATTTATTTTGACGTTAAGGAACTGTGATAAATGCAGAAAACCACTGTAATTTCTAAATGACAATATGTTAATTCAACCTGTCATAAATTCATTCTACCAAAAGTGTCAAGCATGTCTCAACCCACAGGTAATTTGAGGGGACTGATGATCCCCTGGATTTCAAGCTCTCACTGTATAGATGAACACCTTTTCTATTTAATTTTGTGCAAAGCCCCACCACCTGTCTAAGGAAGATGCATTTTTATTGAACAGTGGTACTTGTTTCAAGAATAGGTCAAGAGTATAACTCTAAAAGACTGAGACTTCAATATTTATTGACACAGAGTAGTAAAAGGAAGGGTGATAATCATATGAAAAGTTCACTGACTGGTTAGGCAACTAACATGCAACAAAGTAAAGCTTCAGAACGGAGTCAAAAACAACTTTAACAATTCACCAGTGGCTTGTTGGAGTTATCAGCAGTGGCATCACAAGGGTTGGTGTCACCTGGTGTGGAAAAAAACATGGTGTCATCCCCCTCCCAATAATTTTTTGGGCCGAAAGTGCATGATCACGGTGCGCAACACAATCTGTGCCCTGTAACTGATGCAGTCAGTGCCAGCTTCCAGAGAATAGGAGACCATGGGGCTCACTGTGTCCCTTCCCATGTGCCCCGCCAAACCACACCCACTGAGCGGCAGTGTACAAATGTCAGTAGTGTATATATAGCGAATAACACTCTAATATCTGTACACTGAGTGCTATTACCTGTATATAACACTGATATCTGTACACCAAGTGCGATTTCCTATATAAAACACACTATCTGTACACTGAGTGCCTCTCAGTTTATAGATGTCAGTGTGTTTTATATAGGAAATAGCACTTGGTGTACAGATATCAGTGTTATACACAGGTAATAGCGCTTAGTGCACAGATATCAGTGTTATATATGACACTGACATCTACACTGAGTGCTAATCCGTATATATAACACTGATATCTGTACACTGAGTGGCACTACTGACAGTGTATAGTGATCAGATAATTATTAGAAATAGGGAATAGCACCTGGTGCATGGGCACTGGGCAGAAACACTCAGAATGGCTGGCAGAGATTACAGCAGAGTGACACTATCATCTGCTGGGTTGGCTATAATCACTGTCAATGTCACTGACCTGCACACAATGCATGTTGCTTCGAACGACAGGTCCACTGTGCTGTGCACTCTCTGTCGCCTCCAGCTTAGTCCAGTATTCACTGACTTGATGTCCCCCCGCAGCAGGGATATGGTCTGTGGCCCAGCCCCTCCACTGAAGTCCCCCGCAGGAAAAGTGGCAAGAGCAGCTGCCGGTACCTTCATCCCCATGGCTCCACCATCCCTCCCTCATCCCAGTCGGCACCTGAGTCTTCTTCCAGCGCTACATGAACTGCTGGTGGGGATCCTATTGTTCACTGCCTCCTCCAGGTGTAAACCTTCTCCATTCTGTATGATAATCTGTGGGCACCTCCAGGGGTGGACCGAGTCTCTCATAGGACCCCCCACTGACCCCAGGTCAGGGTGTCACCCCTCATAGTGATGCCACTGTGTCTCAGGGATAACAAGTGCTTGTATCCTGTGAAACAGGCGTGATCAGAAATGTGTGGACTTGCACAGAGATCACCAGGCACAAGTATAATGTAAAATAATGTAATTTATTAAGAAAAAGTGAATAACAAAAATATAAACACACCTCCAATATATCAGAACTGCATAAATCAAACCAGAGAATCTAACGAGTGAGTGAATAAACAATCAACAATTGCCCAAACCAAATATATGCAAATAGAAGGATATGAGAAGCATAGTCCGTGTCAGAGTCATACATGGGAGATCAGGCAGAAGGAGCAGGAGCAAGCCAGGACAGGGAGAGGGTAAATGGGAGAAGGAACAAGCCAGCAGGTAAGGGAACAGGCTGCTGGAACAGAATGCAGGAACATGGGTCAGAGCAAAATGGACAAACACTAAACCAAAGAGGAGAAGCACAGTCAAGGTTTAAATACACTTCCTGCAGCAAGCATCAGGTGATGCCTAATTACCATGAGTTTCTGGCTGCTGAGTGACACTCGCTAGTGGACACCGGAACTGCAGCCTATAGTACTGGTAGCCACAGTGCTACGAACAAGTGAACGCCTTCCTGACACATTGTTTCACTGGCATAATTCTGTTTCATTTGATTCCTTTTGCAAACAGTAAGTTTAAATGCCAAGTTTACCTTTTCCAGAAAATAGCCTATGCAGGCAATGCGGCTCCGTAAAAATGATCATTAATGATATTTTACCTCTAGGCCATTTGGGTCCCCCTAGAAGCCTGGTTAAAAACACATAGTTAGCGAACCCCACGTCCTTACTTGTTGCTAGGATGTGAACAACGTTTGATGCACACTCCCAGCTCTGCAGGTGTGAAAACGAAATAGTTTTTGCGTCCTTTCAACAAGCAGGAGAATGTTGTTAATGAGGATGTTCTTTTAGCCAGGTTTCTGTGTCTGTGGGGTCCCAAATGACCTACAGGTAAAACAGTACAATTAATGACCATTTTACAAAGCTGAACAGATTCTTAATATCTATGTGGGCCCCTTGACTGCATAGACTTTTTTTTTTTTTTTTTTTTTGAAAAGGTGAATTTAGCCTTTAATTTAATTTCTCTAGCATCTGCTTCCCTGGGTCCATTCAAACATTTGTAAACATTACTGAGCCCTGATAAAGGGGGAGCGTGCTTTGCCCCTGAAATGTACTGGAAGTATTGCGAATTATTAAAGTTGTTTTTTTTTACTCCTTTTATGAATCTGGTCTGGCACTCCTTTTTGGTTTAGTTTTTTTCCTGAGGCAGGACTCCAAGTCAAACAGACGTCAAGGTCCTATGTGAAACGGTTACTTGGAATCAAGGAGCTCTACTGAGAATAAGTTAATTTGCTAGGTTGATTTCTGAATTTTGACTCTTGGAAGCTTTGTCACCCTAAAACACCTGATAAGTAAAATTTAGGGAATTTCTCCAAGCAAATATTTAAAACCCCTTTTTAGCTCATGCATTTCTTCAATCAGTTTTCTTGTGTATTTTGATACAAACATTTTTAAATTTTTCTTTGTAACACGGCAGCTGATAAAGTGAAACTTGCAGCAGAAGTGGCTCTACTTTAACACTGCGCTCTTTTTCCCCCTTCCTGCCTAGGCCAATTTTCAGCTTTCAGCATGCTGTTTGAATGACAATTGCGCTGTCATGCAACACTATACCCAAAATAAATTTTTTACATTTTGTTAACACAACTAAAGCTTTCTTTTGTAGGTATTTAATCACCACTGCCTTTTTTTTTTTTTTTTTTGTTAAATAAGCAAAAAAGACCAAATTTTTATTCGTTTGTTATACATTTTTGCAAATAATTCATAAATGTAGGCCAAAATGTATACTGCTACTTTCTTTGGCAAAAATAACCCAAATTAGTGTATATTTAGTAAAAGGCTTGGTGAGTTTTTGACGTTGTAATGGAATGTGAATTTCACTGCCATAGGCAAGCATTTAACTGTATGAAATGGATTAATTCAGGGTATTTTGTTTTGATTAGCTGTGTTTGGCCACTAATTACATGACACCAATGGGCTGTGATTGGCCCAGCCTGTACCTTGTGATTACTGTGACCAATTACAGCTAGCAACACAATTGTATACAATGGATGGCATGAAAAGAAGCCATCCATTGTTTACAATTGTTATGTGACCTGTTGTGATTGGTCACATGGTACTGGTAACAGGCTGGTACACAGATCGGTCAATGGCTGTATTCGATGGACACAGCCCGGCGATAGATCTCACCACAACGTGGTCCCGATGCGGAAGAACGTCATGACGTCCTCCCGGATCAACAGAAGTCCCGCTTGGTCGTCATTTTGTTATTGGCTGGGTGGGAACTGGTTAAATGTTTTTAGACTGGGGTGATTTGGGCTTATGGGAAAAACTCAGGATTTGTATGGTATTGTGGTCTTTAGTAACAAAAACCCGCAAAAGGTGGGGCTGCAGTATGTTTTTGTCTCCAGATCCAGTGGGCAGCAGCTAGAACTCATGCTCTATTCCCCATTTTCCAAACTTTTGTGTCTTACCTTTTTAACTGGTGTGGTTGCCCAATACATTTGGTAGGCAGTGAGAATGGTGCAGGTAGAGGCTGGTCAGAATTCATCCATATAGGTGGTACTTAGTTTGCCATAATGAATACACTACCTTGTGGGTTTCCTGTGTTGATGTTAAAATGTGTGCATATGAGTAGGCACGTTGAGCTAGTCTCAGGAGGGTGTGGAAATTAGTGGCACACTGGCACATGGGTAATGTCCATTCTTGTTTTGATTATATGTAAGAATTGTTTTGTGCAGCAGGAAATGGATGGAGTTGAACTCTTCATCAAGGAAACATTGGAAAGTAACTATACATTTCAGCATTGTAGGAAACTGCCAGATGTTCATGACAAATGGTTTAATGTTGCCACCTGCAGGACGCCTAATGCAACCAAAACTAAAAGTGTGCCCAAGAGGCTCCCCCCCTTCCCCGGTGGACAAACCCTCCAGCTGTAACACAGTTACGTTTTTCACCTGGCACTCAGAAGCAAGGACCTAGGATTTTTTTTTCTCCTTCCTTTTTGTCCATTTGATGGTTCTTTTCGTTCCAGGACAGCCTTTCCACTTGCTCCTCAATGTTTCAGGATGATCGCTGTGGGCCCAGACAGCGAACAGCACTGCATCAGTTAACAAATTTGGCACCCTCCTTTCTCCTGGCCAGCATGTAGCAGTCCTTTCCCCCTAAATACAACAGTTTGTTTTTTTTTTTTCAGCCTCAGTTCAGATATGGCAGGCTGCTGTCCTGCCAGAGCCACCTCTGTGAGCTTATAGCTTTCTATGGGCACTGTGCTGCTGA